TGCCTGATTCACTGTTTAATTTGAATGGATATTCAATATTTAGATCCGATAGACCTGATAAAATTGGTGGAGGAGTTTGCATATATATCCATGACAGCATTACCAAAAATTTCCTAGTTACAAACATATCTTTCCACTGCAACAACATTGAAACAATCACCCTCTCATTGACCTCAGCATCTTTCAGCTTCGTATTAGTCTGTATATATAGATCCCCAAAATCAAACATACAAGATACTTCATCCCTCATTGAAAAAATAGAAAACTTAACAAGAACCTCCAAGAACCTAGTCATTTTCGGTGACTTTAACTTTCCTGAGATCTCATGGCCAATTACACAATATGTATATCCTGCTGAAAGTACAACAGCCTTTATTGAGCTGTTGTTAAATACAAACCTTACCCAGTTGATTCAAGCTCCTACACGGTATAGGCATAATCAAATCCCTTCAACTTTGGGCCTGCTACTTACTGATGATCCACAGTTATTCACAGATGTTAATTATCTTCCACCTATAGAAAAATCAGATCATGTAGTTTTGAGCACATCTATTCAAATCATTACAGAATCAGTTCCGAGTCAACGGAAAAAAGTTAAAAAGTATATTGACTTTCATAAGGTTAATGAATCACTTTCACTAATGGACTGGGACGTTTTATTGAGTGGAGATGACGTGAATACCATATGGGAGACTTTTCACAATACTGCAAATATCATATTAGAACAGAATACATCAATCAAAACATTTTCGGAAAATAGACTCAAACCATGGATTAACGAGAACATCCTCACACAGGTAAAACGAAAACAGACATTATGGAAAAGATTCAAAAGAACAAGAAACGCCAACGATTATCACACTCACAGACGTTCCTCAAATACACTATCTGAATCGATAAAGAATGCTAGAATTTCATATGAAAGGAATCTATCAAAATTTGAAAACTCCAAGAAGCTTCACAAGTACATAAGATCACACCTTAGTTCTAGAGTTAGTATACCTATGTTGAAGAAGACGGATGGTGACATATGCAAAGACAACAAAGAAGTCGCAGAAATGATGGCAAGTACTTTCACAACATCCTTTAACATTGAACCTGAATTACCAAATACAATCACGATTAACTCCGTACGCAACCAGGACAACCTTTCCAATATAAATTTCCCTCCGTCAAAAATTCTGGACAAAATTGGAAAACTAAAATCATCCTCCTCCCCAGGCATCGATGGCATCACTGTCCTGTTTCTAAAAAGATGCAGCGAAAATCTAGTCTATCCACTAAGTATAATTATGAACCGTTCATTCAAAAACTGCTGCTTACCAAATAGCTGGAAGTTAGCATCTGTAACACCAATATTCAAAAAGGGTAACAAGCTCGACCCAAGCAACTACAGACCTATAAGTCTCACTTCAGTGGCTTGCAAAATCATGGAATCAATAATAAGTGATGAATTAAAAACTTTCCTGTTATATCACAAAATAATTCCGCAACAACAACATGGTTTTGTTCCAAATCGGTCAGTTACAACAAACTTATTGGAGTGCGTGAATGTCTGGTCAAAACATTTGGACAATAATACCCCTATGGATATTATTTATCTAGACTTTTCTAAAGCATTTGACCGTGTCCCTAGAAAAAGACTTTTGTGTAAATTAGAACATTTTGGTGTACGCGGGCTACTACTGACGTGGATCCAGAATTTTCTAGAGAACAGATATTTTTGTGTTCGGATAGATGATTGCTTCTCTGGCCAATATCCTGTATTGAGTGGAGTTCCCCAAGGATCTGTACTTGGTCCTCTGTTGTTTTTGTGCTACACATCAGATTTATCACATATTTTTAAGTCAACCTGTTTTTTTTACACTGATGACACAAAACTTTACAACAACACAAAATCACAACATATATTGCAAAATGACTTGATTGCCTTATACAACTGGATTTGTGAGTGGTTACTACCACTGAATATTAATAAATGTGTTGTACTTCACCTTGGTAAAAATAATCCTAGACAAAATTATACCATCAATGATGAGCAATTAGTTAAGGTTGAATGCCACAATGATCTTGGAGTTACCCCAGCAATTTAACGTGGTCACAACATATTTCAAACATATGCAAACGAGCGAATACAAAATTGTACCTCTTGAAAAAAGTTTTTCCGAAAACGTCACCTGAAACGTTCACTAACCTCTACAAAGTTTATGTTAGGCCAATCCTAGAATATGGAGGACAAGTGTGGAGCCCGGAGTTGAGCAGAGATCGTAACATGTTGGAATCTGTGCAACAACGAGCAACCCGAATGTCATTCGGTCTCAGAAGACCATCATACCATGAACGTTTGAATCAGTTAAGCCTGACAACATTCGAAGATCGAAGACATCGTGGAGACTTGATCCTAACTTATCGGATTCTTCATGGATTTCTACCCTCACTGAGTGATATGTTCCAGATAAACGATGATACACGATTAAGAGGACATAATTTTAAACTTAAGAAGGAACATTTCAGGTCGTCAAATCGGCAAAACTTCATAGTAAATCGTGTTTTCTAGGCATGGAACAACCTGGATACAGACATAGTTAATGCACCCTCAGTATCATCATTCAAAAGTCGATTAGATCGTATTACTGAGTAAATTGTTTTTGTTTTTTTTCAGTTTGCATCGCATTATATCTGTCTATTTTATTTCGAAATGTTCAATTTCTATTCAACATTTTTAATTGTTTTTTCAGTTTTATTTTTAATCTAATTGTTTGTCTAGTAGCTATTTACATATATATATATATAATATTTCTTTATGTGTACCATACAACTATGTCATGTATAAATGGGCTGTTATAGGTTCACACCTCAGCCCATTATCACTTTTTAATAATAATAATAATAATAATAATAATAATTTTTGTCTAATTTTTGGCTGATGAATCTCCCATTTAAAAATGTCCCATGCTTGTTGAAACACCCTATACATAAAGTTATTGGTTCAGGAATGAACTCTTCAGTATTTTCTATTATCTGTATGTGGCGAATTTGATAGTGTAATGCGAGCTCTGCAAGGAGATTGTATCCCATGATAGTGGATTGTCGTTTGGCACAATGAAAAACTCGATGTCGAATTTGTTTCCTATTGCATTTTACGATTGAATATCCTTTCTGAAATAGTTGAATATTTTACGAATTGGAATGACATTGTGATTGATGAACTTTTTGAGGTTATATTTGTGTTATGATTATATCAATTGAAATCGTAAAACGGATATCCCAAATGACGATTCAGAATAGAACGTTGGTTTTTCATGTCACAATAATAATAGTGCATGAGAAGTGAGTAAGGAACTACACGAACACGAAAACTCAGTAATTACATATAATATCTATTCTGCGAATTAGTTTCGTAAAATCGGAATCCAAATCTCGACCATACACCGTGTCCCAGCTAAAATGTCCCCCCCCCCCTTGTAAAAAATCAACCGCGCAATCGAATGACTTGAAATTTGGTCACCCAGTATATTTGATGATGCTCACTCGAAATATGCTATTGAATAAATCGTAGGTATACAGGGTCACACTGAAGTGCACCAAAACTTTCCTATTTGAATAGGGACACCCAGTATATTATTCCATATTCAAGTAGAGTTCATTATTACAAATCCAACAAGGCCGGGTTTGATGGGATTTTTTCAAACGACTACGAAGATATGGCGAAAAATGAAACGATTCAATAAAAAATGTATATGATAAGATTTTATCAATATAACACGATTGAAATCGAATGAAAAGAAAATAATTAAAACCTCAACTGCTCAATATGTCGTCGATTCTGCTGCAAAAATTTCCTAGCTCTTTTGATAACGTTCATTTTGACCCTATGTATCACGTTGCGATCAATTTGAGCGCATAAATTTGTGATTTTCTCTTTCATTTCTTCCATATTCACAATTGGCGACTCATAAACCTGTTGTTTCAAGTAGCCCTACAAATGAAAATCAAGTGGGGTGAGGTCTGGCGACCGAGCTGGCCAGTTGCTATCACCATCGAGACAATTATTAGATTTTGTCCAAACCGATGGCGAAGATAATCCTTTACGGGTCTGTAGTTATGTGCAGGGCACCCATCATTCGATTTCAATCGTGTTATATTAATGAAATCTAATCATATAAATTTTTTATTGAATCGTTTTAATTTTTGCCATATCTTCGTAGTAGTTTGAAAAAATCCCATCAAACCCGGCATTGTAATAATGAACTCTACTTGAATATGGAATAATATACTGGGTGTCCCTATTCAAATAAGGAAGTTGATGTGCACTTTGGTGTGACCCTGTATACCTAAGATTTATTCAATAGCATATTTCGAGTGAGCATCATTAAATATACTGGGTGACCAAATTTCAAGTCATTCGATCGTGCGGTTGATTTTTCACAGAGGGGGACATTTTAGCTGGGACACGGTGTATAAGGTCTTACTGAAGATTAAAATTGATCCTGTTATCATTAATAATTATTTATATTAAAAAGAGGCAAACGATGATTCGATGATGAATTGTTAATATTAAACATTATACACACCCTAGATAGACAACAACTGTATAAAAATTGGCAATCTACACACCCTAGATAGACAACAACTATATACAAATTGGTAACACTCCTTTGGGACGTAACAGGCCGGCGGCTAATCGGCTTTGCTGATTCGTTATACAAATAATATTATAGGGGTTGGTGAAATCCACAGTGTATTAATGAACAGATGCCCCAGCTGAGCGTTGCCCATTCTTTTATTTCCGGTATCTGCCTAGAGTGTGTATTATCTTTGATCACATCTACCAAGTGAAAAAGAAAAGAAAATAACATGAAGAAAGACATGTGAAAAAGGCATAAGACAGTTTGATTGCTATTGAGCTATCAAGTAACGCAAGCTAGTTTATATGATGTAATCGAATTACAGAATACCAACTATCCATGCTATAAAATTTCTTCTTATCTGCACAATAGGATTACAGGTACATGCCTGAACCAAATCTCCCTCCCCTTCACGTGGCTATGGGCCCCATTCAAACTGGAAGCGTCAATGCCGACGAGCTTCAAAGATTGATTCCGGAATTACCAGAAGAAACGAGGCATAGATTGAGAGTAGAAAAGGGACTGAATTTAGAACAATCTATAATATTAGTTGTAAGTATTTTTCTTCATAAACATTGGCTGGCCACGAGGCACATGGTGAGTCTTTGAAGTATATAATTTGAAATTTGCTCATCGCATCACCCAGCAGTTGGTACGTGAGAACATATTATCTTCAGTAATAACGCCTTGACTATTTTCGATTATTTATATATTCCTATGGTAATAATTAAGTTGTGTTCACTGGTTGCTAACCCAAACTGAACGGTACGAAATATACTTATCATTCAGCGAACGGTAAGTCAATTCAAAGGTACTTCATACGAAGGACATATAAAAATATCTCATTTGTTTCTGACAACTTCATGAAATTAAAAAAAACACAAATATAAATATAATATTAACTCATATTGACCTCTACGAACTCTTCTTCATATTTTGCTGATATGGACAAAGTGGATAATGTGAAATTTGATCGAAAATATGTTGAACCCATTCAAATGAATAATAAATACATTTGTTTTTTCAACTTATGTTTCAGTGTATGTGTTTTTTCGTGTACGATGGATTTTCGTAGTTATAGTAAATAAAAATTTTCGGATTCAACTTATACAGTATTTGCATTTACTGTATAAGAAACAACACATTTATCATTCAGTATATAATATCAAATATTATTCCATAACTATCGCGCGGCGGAACTCCTGTTTCATGTCCACGCTTTACATAATGGCGATCGGTGAAGTCCCAATCGTTTTTATTTTCAATATTTTTTTTATGTTCTGGTTCCCACGAAAAGGGATATCATGTAATGTTCAGAGAACATCGTGGGAATCAAGGGAGATAAGGTAGGAATTGGTGTTCTTCTTGAATTTCTGGAGGTTATATGCCTCGGGGAACACCTCCCTTGGCAATGTGTTCCAGAGCGTCGTTGTTGATTTCATCATGAATAATAACGATGATCAGTTAACTAACAAAACAACTATAAACTGTAAACATTGGCTAACAAATAACTGGAGATCAGAAATCGACACAAGTATAACTGGTAAACATTCTTCCTTCTTCTTTGATATGGGCTTGAGCTTTTCGGTTATTTACCCAAGTTCTTCTCTGTTGTTGTCCTCTTCCTAAGGGCTGAAGCTGCGTCTGATCCTGTGATCATCGCTGCCTCCCTGAGATAACATGTAACATAGATTGATTAAAGTTTCAGGTTGATTGATTTCAGATACGTGAAAATGATCAAAGGAGAATAAGCAGTGGGATTCCTTAGCAGGTCTTCTACTTTTTCTCTATTTTTGTGAACAATATGTTTGAGTTCCGAGTGTGGTTGGGATATTCCAATAAAATATGCCGTAAAGGACCCCGCACTTTCCTTATGGAAAATGGCTTTCGGGTTAAATCACCTGAATTTTTGGTATGATGTATGCAATAACCCTAGAATTTTGGGAGGTATAATACCTTCACCATTCATTTGTTCATTGAGTACTGAGTATCCCAATTTTGTAGAAACCGCACATTTCACAGGAATCATATGAGATATTTCTCCATCTGAATTGGAATAGCTTCCAAATACTGTATAAATTAGTTCCAACCTTGAGAGGGTTATTGCTTCTGATACATTTCAATTTTCTCTAGTTTCTTCGGAAACAGGGCTCTCAAATGAAAAACATTTCATTCACCCTGTATATAAGGTATTGCAGTTTTGAAATAGTTACCGAACTAATCTAGCCCCAATATTTTTCAACATGAATTGTTGGAAAATAGCCTATTTCGGACTCCAATATGGTGTATATCGGGTATCAATAAAATCCGTACATTCAAGAGTATATAGCCGACAAACGAGGCCTGAGACGTATGCTAATATTGATGACAATATCTCGGACTCCTTGAATCGTACATTATATCAAAAATTCAAGACAATTAACCGATTCTTTTTCGAAATCGAAATACAGGGTATTCATTGAAAAAAAACGCATTTTTTCAAGAAACTTGGACTGTATTTTTTTACTCACCCTATATATATGAAATGAGTATGCGACGTTCTCAACATCAATGATTGTTTGATATATCTATCACATGCTCTCCCCTTTCCGATACAAAAAACTATGGATTGACGTACCCCTATTTTCGAGCCACCCTGTATATAAAAATAAAATGTCAGTTCACTTCGATCAAGATTGACAAAGTTCGTCCGGGCTCAATTGAATCTCCAATTCTCATGAAAGAACTTACCCTGGTTGGTTTAAAATTAATCGAATTGGATTTTTCTTTGTTCATCCTGTTGTAGAGCCCAAAACAAAAAATGATAATGGATACGAGATCCAGATGACATTGTACCATCATTCAGGCATGTTATTCCATGAATAAATGGGCGTTTTGTCAATTCTCGGAGTTGTTAAAAATTCTGAGCAGAAAGCTTCACTTTTCATCTTTGACACCCTGTATCTCGAAAACTAGTCAGCCGATTTATTTGTGTCCATGGACACTTTTGCTTAGGAAGTCAAAATCTACATCATACCAAAAATTCAGGGAATTTAACCGCAAGCCATTTTCCATAAGGTGTGGGGTCATACCGTTGCATCGTGGCGAGTGTCTTATCCTGATCCTGAATAGATGTTCTGGGGTGAGACAATGCCCCGATCTCAGTCAGCACATTGTGGAGGCTATTTCTGTGCTAACATTTTCTTTGAAAAAACAAGTTTTTGTTCGTAGGTGCTTCACGGAGGTTGAATAGTCTCTTCCCTTCGATTCTGCATAGTTCTGTCCATTCTTCTTCCCAGTCCTCATGTTTTTTTTTTCACTCTAGGAAGTAGATCTCTATATTCGAGTTTTTTGTAGTCCATCCTCTCCATTGTTGTACTTTGTTTGGCTAATTGGTCTGCTTTATTATTTCCTGATATATTCGTGTGACTAGGTATCCATCCCAGTGTGATTTATTGAATGTTGTTTTGAGAGGCTTTTTTGATCTAACCTCTTGTGATTAGTGTGGAGTTGTGAGAGCCAGATTTAATTCCCGTCCTTGATGATTTTTGAAGAGCGATCAAAAAGTTTGTTAATATAAATGGTTTACTGATTTTGAAATCGCATGCCTTTTTCACCGCTGTCATCAGACCTAGCATCACAGCTGAACATATAGGAGAGTCGTCCTCGATTCTTACTTGGATATTGTACTTACCCCTAAGCCAACTTTAGAGTTTACTGATGAGTTATCAGTGAATATAAGTGTTTGATCTTCCAATTTTTTTCTTTTGAAGTCCTTGTTCCTATTTAATTTTTAATTCAGTCGAATGGCCTGAATATGCATTTACATCAATTGTGTATTATAACAGGGCAGATTGTCGTGTTTTTGAATTTCCTCTATGTAAAAAAGTTTTCTTTTCAGTCCCTCTAGAATTGGGATATCTTCTAAGCCTTCTGGATTGTTAACGCAGGGAAGCTAGTTTATATAGGCTGATGAGGAAACTATTTTTTGTTATGGAGAGGTTTTTTTAAGTTGAACTTACGGCTAGCCAAGTACGTCGATGACGTAATGGCCACTCGGCGTTCTCAGCCAGCAATGAAGTGATTGGGATACTTTTCATGGAGCCCAATATCAATCTGAGACCTTGATATTGGACTTCTTCCAACTTTTGTAACATTCGTTTTTTGAGGTATTAAATACTAGGATTGTGCCAAAGTCCAGGTGAGATTCAACCAAACCTTTATATATCATGCACAATATCTTTGGGCCTGCTCTCAACCATTTCTCTTGTGAGTGATTTCATTATGTCAATGCCTTTACACGCTTTGCTACATATCTTATCTATATAATCTCTGAATTTCATTTCACTATCAAATGTGGCACCTAAGTATTTGATTGACTTTTTATTCGTAATCGTAACATTGTTGAATTTAATAAGAGGTATTTGATTGGATGTTTTCATTTTTTCAAATACTACTGCAGCTCACTTATTCGCCGCTAAACTGAACCCATGAACTTTGATCCATATGGATAGATTGACCAGTGCCTGATAAATTTGGTTGGACATACTATCACTACCAATGCCCCTTCCCGAAAGAACTAGTGCTATATCATCCGCGTATATTTTTCTTTTTTTTTTCAAATGTCGGTCTATAGTTCTGTTATAGAAAAATCCGGGTCTGAGTCCAGATTTTGAACATTCCAATCAATAGCTTGTGGGGGATTCCCTGAGGAGATGTAAATCCTGGAGTCATCTAAATAATCTTCTACAAAGGAGGCCTGCTGAGGTTGCAAATTTTTATTGTTTTTGAAAAGTTTTTTTCCAAAACTTCTGCTATATTGGAGCCCCTAATCAGCGTTTCACAAAAGTTGATAAAATTGGATTTTTTTGTTTCTTAGACATTTCCCAGTTTTTGCCACTATTCTTTTCATATTTAGTAGTATAAACTCGTTTATTTGATGTATTTTAGACTTCAAATTATTTTTGGGAGTTATTGATTGAAATTGTAACTGGAAAGTGATCGCTTTTTCCACTATCTTCCAGCGTTGCCCAAGAACTGTCTGATTCTAGATTAGGTGAACAAAAAGTTACACCTGGATCTGGAATACTAATATTTTGTCAAGGAACCCTAGCCTTGCAGGCCTCCCATCGTTTAAACAAATCATTTGTAATTCATACCTATAATAGGAATTCTCCGTTATGGTCTTTCACTGCTAAACCCCATATCATGTTCTTTGAATTTATATTAGCCCCCTATTATAACTTTAAAATTTGCTTCAAAATTGGAAATATTTTTGAGAAATCTCTTATTCAACCTGTTGTTAGGCGGGTTGTATATGTTAACTATCATAACTCCTAATGTTTGGACCTTGTCAGGTAAGAATGATAGCATATTGTGAGTTCAAGGTTGGGGCCATTAGAGTTTACGCTTCTAATATTCCACTGCAAAACTATTATAAGAAAGTATATATACCCTTCAAATTTATTTATGTCACTTTCTTATTATTGTGATATTCTTCTTATTAAATTTATTATTCTTCATTTTACATTACAAATTTTGCATACTGGTGTTAACTCCTTTAACGGGATCCTGACTAGCAACTAGATCTCCGTGTCAGAGTCCCCCAGGCCACCACTTCGGCTCCCGTCCGAGCCCTTTTCAAATGTTGCTTGTTGATTTGGAGATGTCTCCTGTAAACAGACCTCTTGTTATCATGTTATCTGTGATTGATTGAGAATAAAGAATCAAGTCTTCATTTGATATTGACTTGCTTGTTAGATAATCCTCCATTGTAATTTCTGGAGCTGAATGATTGGGGTGTGTTAGTTGGGAGAGGAGATATAGGAAGTCTAAATAGTAAATGATACACGAAGTCATCTCCATGGTATCATTTAGTATTTAATACTTGACTCCACTTTGAGAAACCATGGACTTCTACCAAAGATTATAGGAAGTCTAGTTGATTGCGGGAAAATACATGCCTCTGTGGCCTCCTTGTCGTAACCTGACTGAGAGTTTGCCAGCCTCCTTTGATACTAATACTGTCATGTGATAATTTTGGATTTGCCCTCTAACGCCATTTTGGTTCTCATTCCTCCTACGCTTATTGTTTGACTGACAGTTTCAATGGGTCCTTTCAGTGGAAGAGCGTTTGTAATATCCAGAGCAGGACTAGGACATTTTTTCGTTTTCGCTTTTTGCTCTCAGGGTCGGTCCTAGCAGGGGTGCAGCTCACTATCATTATCTATCAGCTTCATTTGCTGTTGTCATCAAATTATTCACGAAATCCGATAGATTTCACGTGTGAATAGGACCGTGATGTGGATATAAGTCTTTGAGGTCGTCGAAAAACTGTCTCGCCTGATTGCTAGCTTCGGCTAAGGCCTCGGCTATCAATTTGCCGACTCGACTATAATAGACAGTGTTCCGTCCTTCGTACATAAATAACTATTTCGTTCCCAGATATGTTTCCTCTGTAAAAAGTTTAGAACTTTATCATGAGCTCAGTTTTGAATCAACTGATACCTCATTTTGGCAACTGATCGGGTCTTCTGTTAATTGATAAGGTTAAAGTACCCATGTTTTTTATATCGGACTCTATTTTGTATAGGCTTCTAAAAAATTCGTACCTATACAGGGTTATTCACTTAAAACTCCGCACGCCAATATCTCGAAATCGAATAGGAATATTTGATTCCTGTAAAAAGTAGTCAATAGAGGGGGTAACGTAGATTTTTTCAAAGTATGAAAAATTCAACGCCTTCTAGGAGCTGAGCGTCGTGACGCGTCGAGAATATAAATCGATCGCAGTGACTTTGAAATTACACGCACGCAAAAGTAAATGTTATTTATGAACTTTTCTGTTATTTACTCGAACTAATTCATCCTACTCATTTCTGAGTTATACCAGTTCATAGTAAATATTTCTTGATGGACAAAATATGCGATTTAGGATGATTTTTACAAGAATGCCATGAATATTCGTTACTATGGCAATCATTTTTATCGCAATTGTTTTTAGTGCAATTACAAGCGACAGATGTTGTCAGTACTGTGTCAGAGATATTGTCGCACTTTGTAATAAGAAATATTCTGATTTATTCGATTCAAACAAAACTAACAATAGTTATATGAAAATGGTTCAATTCAGCAATGAGGAAAAAGTCGACATGTTACTGGTGTTTGGAGAATGCAGGTCAAATTGTAGGGAAGCAAAAAGAGTTTACTCATTTCAGGTTAATCTAATAAACAATACATACAAACAATAAACTACATGATGAAGTAAATTAAAAATTCTGTTCAAAATTATGACCATCTGCTCGAATACAACTATCAAACACTTTGAGCAGATGAGCTTGGGTCACTTGTAGGAGCGTCCTTCTTGTTATAGCGGCACACGCTGCACTAATTTTGTTAATAAGATCAGCCATATCTTCGATTGGTTCTTCATAGACAACGTCCTTTAGATGACCCCAAATAAAATAATCTGGTGGTGTCATGTCCTACAACCTCGCTGGCCACCTTATCGGTCCATTAGTACCAAATCATCTATTGGGGTATTCTCTGTTTGAATACCTCGTAACAATTTCGGCATTATGTGCAGGCGCTCCATCCTGATGTAGCCACATATTCATTCTAGTCTCAATGGGCACTTCTACTAATAGTTCCGGAAGTGTAGTTGAAGAAACCTTGAATAGCGATCTGCATTTTTTTTAAGCAATATATCTTTAATCAGGATTTGATTACAATGTGGTATAAATACATACTTTACACAATACTTTTACACATTTTCAACTTTCATAATCTATACATTGCATAGTCCCAATTCAAGAAAACCCCTAAGCAGTAGAAAATACTGGTAACGGGGATTATAACTAATAACATTCTGTCCTATATGTACAATGGAAATATAGTAATTCATAGAATTAATATTAATTTTCATACAGTAGAATTTTTTCAGGTACTTCCTAATTTCCTTAACAAATAACTTTTCATTTGGTATTTCCCTAAATGCTTGTGGTATTGATGTATATACATGTATGCACCTGTTCATAGGATTATTTAGTGCAACATTTGTTCCAATATTTGGAAGGTATATGTTATTTTGATTTCTTACGTTATAGTTATGTATTTCATTGAGGTTCAAGAAATTTATATTTGTTTTTTGTTTGCGATTTACTATTTTGTATGTGTGTTTACATTGCTCTAAATTTAGGATTTCATTTAGTTTGTTTAATTTTGTTGTTTCGTATACAGTATTCGTTGGTGTTGAGTAGTTGATAGAGAATAATATTAATAACCTTGTTTTGCAGTCTTTGCATTTCTTGAAATGTCGTTTTATTACATGTTCCCCATATTACGATCAGATACCTAAAGATCGACAGAAAGTATGAGTTGTAGATCATGTATTTCACTTCAGTGCTCAGATATTCCCTGCATTTAAATAGTGCTCCAACCATGGGTAACATTTTTCATCCAATATGAGACCTAAATATTTGAGATTGTTAACCTTTTCAACCTGTTCTTCACCTATTTTTATTTCAACGCCACCAATGCTCACATTTTTTTGTTTGAAAATTATAAATTTTGTTTTCTTTATATTGAGTTTTAGTTTGTTATGTAAGAGCCAGTTTTTATATCTTTTCATATCTGCGATTACAAGGTTGTTGAGTTCTTCTATATTTGTGCCAGTATACGTCAAGACCGTGTCGTCAGCAAATGTATAATAGCGAGTATTTAATTCAGCAGATTTTAGACTGAGCACGAGTAAAGAATAAAAGAGCCTTCTTAAAAGTGATGTCCAATAAGGAATCCGTTTATTATGCCGCACCAAACATTGATGCCATAATTCGCTGATTACCTCTTTCTGTAATCCAACGAGGATGGTTTTCGGACCAAAAACGACAGTTGTGTCTATTCACGATTCCATTATTATGGAATCGACTTTCGTCGCTCCATAGAATTCTCAAAAGAACATTGGCATCTTGGCTATACAAATGGGAAAATCTTGCTAAGAAATCCATTCTCCTAGCGGGATCACCTGGTTCTAATTTATGTACTAGTTTGGTTTTGTAAGGATGAAAAGAGTTTCTTTTTAGAATTCTCCACGATGAACTTATGGAAAAACCGGTACTTTCTTTAATTTTCAATAGGGATATCTTAGGGTTATAATCAACCTGCTGAGTTATAGCAGCAGTATTTTCATCATTTGTAGTCGTCTTTTCCATATTTTACATAAACTTGGAAAGGTTTTTTCATCGGGGACTCTTCTATGCGGATAACGCTGTGCGTAAACCCTTTGCTTCTATACAATTTGACCTGCATTCTCCAAACGCCAGTAACATGTCCACTTTTTCCTCATTGCTAAATTGAACCATTTTCATATAACTATTGTTAGTTTTGTTTGAATCGAACAAATCAGAATATTTCTTATTACAAAATGTGACAATATCTCTGACACAGTACTGACAACATCTGTCGCTTGTAATTGCACTAAAAACAATTGCGATAACAATGATTGCCATAGTAACGAATATTCATGGCATTCTTGTAAAAATCATCCTAAATCGCATATTTTGTCCATCAAGAAATATTAACTATGAACTGGTATAACTCAGAAATGAGTACGATGAATTAGTTCGAGTAAATAACAGAAAAGTTCATAAATAACATTTACTTTTGCGTGCGTGTAATTTCAAAGTAACTGCGATCGATTTATATTCTCGACGCGTCACGACGCTCAGCTCCTAGAAGGCGTTGAATTTTGTATACTTTGAAAAAATCTACTTGACCCCCTCCATTGACTACTTTTTTAAAAAAATCAAATATTCCTTTCGTTTTCGAGATATTGGCGTGCGGAGTTTTTTAAGTAAAAACCCTGTATACCTCACTGAAATGTTTCGATTTTTAAATTTTGTATCTTTGAAATAAAATAGGTACCTTTACCATGCCTCGTGGTCGACCGTATGTTTGTACCTAATTATCATAACTTACTAATGATTCTTTTTTGTCAATTTTTAGAATGATGATTCGCTCCTGAAAATTTTTCAAAGGATCGTCGGCTGTGGACAGGTTGAAAATAAAAAGCTGCTCGCCAATTTTCTGATCAATGATTTCATAACCCTATTGAACAAAATTGAGAAAGACACCTGTGAAGTGTAAGTTTCTATTTTCACAAACCCAAAAAATATTGTCAGATCAGACTCATTCGATTTTTTTAATATGTCCTCTAGGTGATAAAATAACATCCATGACAACATACACTGGCGCTGGTGGTTCCTTTGAGTTTTAAAAGGATCTACACCTTTTTCTATCGTGATTTAGGAAGTGCAACTTTAAATTTAGATAAATGAAATTCAATTCGCGGACAGTGTACTCATAATTCAGATTAGCTATTTGTAATTGAGAAAGCGTCAGTTGTAATAATTGATATTTGTTCATTGTAATTCAGATCAGTCATTAATTGTGCCCTTCGTACTCTGTTGAAAAGACCCTCTGAATGCTTAGGTAACAATTTTCTCATTCATCCGAATTCGTATCTCCTAACGTTTCCAAGATTTCCATGCTTTGCAAGTGATCACACTGTATATTAGGGCGGAGCAATGATTATAGGTGCTGAAAATAAATTGATTTTTAATTTAAGCTTGGTTGCGAAATCGCTATCTTTTAACTATTCAAATATAGGTAACTTTAAATTTTCGGTCGAAAATATTTATTACTTCAGGTTCCTTTTCAATTTTTAATGAAGAAAAAAATATTTAAATCAAAATTTCTGTTGCAGTTTACCATTAAAACGAATAGTTAGGAGACAGCGATTTCGCACCTAGGCTTATATAAAAAAAAACAATCGCACAATTCGCACCTACTACCATTGCTCCGCCTTACTCTGTATATTCTCAAATAGATCTCATACTTCCGGAATTACAATTGCAAAAGGAGTAGATGCTGTGCAATTGTTTATTAACTAGCAACTGCTACTCAGGAAAATCAATAATCCTACTGTTACTGATAGTTCATCATGGCGCATTTTTGATTTATGGATAATACATAGGAACAAATGTAAGTGTTCCTGCGTCAACAAGTTAGTGTTTTTATCGATTTTGAAATTTCAGTTTCAATAGTGTCATTTTCAATAAACACACGTACCGTATCATCAAATTATCGTAAAATATGGTGTAACATAAGAATATCGAAGTGCTCCACTAGCTCCAGTATAATTGAGCGTTGAATAGTTGAAACGTTTCGACAACCTGGCCTTTCAATTGCTTTTGGGGGTTGATTAGCTAATTTATATACAGTTACATATGCCATTAAAAAAATTCTACTTTCACGCACGTGATTCAAATAGGATAATTAATCACTCACACACTATGGATTTGCTAAAACCCTCTTCGCAAATGAAAGGCATTACTAATTGTGGAAAATTTGGTTTGAACTTCTTTCCTCAGGGAGGAATCTGCCGAATACCTAGGTGAAATCGTGGAATTACTGGAAAAAGGCCATATAAATAGGACCACTGCAAAATTTTTGTTGGAAGAAATTTTATCTGAAAACAATAAACACAGTCCAATGGAGGTGAGTGTAACTGAATTTGCAGCAAAGCAATAAACATGTCTGGTGTGTTTGTTTGATCAAAAGAGATATTCTGTTATTGCCTAATCGTATATGATCATTGAAGTAGTGCCAAAAATTATTTTTTTCTAATTTTGACATGTAATTTGACACTTTTGAAAACTAACGAAAGTTTTGAAACGTCTCAACTTTACGTAACAAGATGCGTAAACTGAAATGTTTTATAACTGTTGATGAAATGTCACTGATTTGTAACCGTATTATTATTTGATGGATACTTCAAAGCGACAGGCGAAGTCAACTTGCCTAACAAATTTTGTACCTAATCAGTAAAACTCATGTACTAGAACTGGTCAATCGAAATTTTGTGTCAAAATCAGAAAAAAATATAGTACATATCTAGTTAGGTCACGAAATTTTGTGTAAATCTATTTTTTCTGCAACCGACACAAAAGTCGTCCATTTTGATACCAAAATTTACTCTTAAATTGACGTTTCTATTACTGACACAAAAATAGGTATGTTGCTAGGCAACATATTTAGTTCCTAGGAGCTAAAGTAGAATTTTAGTTCCTAGGAGCTAAAGTTGAAAAAAGAATCTACTGGACGTCATCAAGAATAAACAACATTGTGGCGGTTAGTTATTTGGGTTGAGACGCATACCTGATTTGTTTCCGATTTCAGCAGATTTGGCATTTCATACCCATGCTGGAGATATAAATACACCTTATTATAGTTCACTATTGGAATTATAAACATCTCAGGTATTTTTGATTTGATCAGGGAAGCCTTCAAGATTCAAATACTTGCTTGATCTGTATTTCATTCGTTATTCTCGGGATGGATAACTCGTTTTTGAATAATCACGACCAGCAATAGTTTTTTTTATCTCAAACAACGATATTGTTTAGCTTCATTTGATTATCAAGTCAAACAAACACAGTGTAGTATGGAGAGGAATAAATGTTCACTATTATCATTATTGATATGCTCACTAACCTAACATTTTCCACGTCTTGGTCCTATAGCTGGCACTGGCGCGGTATTTGCCATTAGAGCACCTGGTCCATACACAAATATGTCACTCTGTGGTTGTATCTATATTGAAACTAAAATTTGAACATCCTAGAAAACCTAACCTGCTGTTAATGCAGGTAGAATATTCTCACCACATGGATTATTTGTCAAAATTTGTTGCATTGCATACATAATATGGCACGGCATTGGTGGTTACTTCACATGTTTATTTGAGTTAATTGTTTCGGTTGCAGAAAAAATAGCATGTTTCATTCGGATCAAAAGTGACTTTGTTCGACTCGCAAATTTTGCCGTTGCGAGGCGGAGCGTGTAGCGAAGCCGAGCAAATGCAAAATTCGCTTGTCAAACAAAGTGTCACTTTTGATCCTAATAAAACAATCTACTATTTTTCGGTATCTCACTTTGCTCGTCCCGCAAAATCCCATCGTCACACAAAATGAAGTGTTTTCTAACTAAACTGGTCAACATTGATAACGTCGTGGTCCAAAATATACCCTGCATTCAAAGTTGAATAACTCACGAATATCCTTACCAATTTGAAATCTGTTTTCACCGATGATTTGCCTGATCTCTTGACAGTTTGTTGCAGCAATATGAAACTTCTGTAATTTCAGATAACACTACTTTAGGGTGATAATTGAATTAGTGGAAAATTGCATCGTGGTCGTCACCTTACCGTTTGAACAGATAAGATTTGTAATTTTTTTTCTCACCTGTATCCTCTTGATTGATGCTTTCTCTCGAAACTTTTTCGGAACTTTCGACTTCAGAGCTTTAATAATCGTGTTATGAATATTCATTCAAAATGATGCATTTTTTTGACGATTAATTGGATGAAATTGGAAGTTGGAATTCTTTTTCGAAGAATCAACGTTGTATGTATAGTCGTCGGATTCGATCAAATGTTTTTCATACTAATGAAGATAAATACAGCAAGTCCTCATGAGGCTTATACGAGGTAATATAAAAGAGACTTCAGAATTGCCATATATTCGTGCATACTTGTTACCACTGATCTAGCACCTACAATGTGGTTTTCAGAAGGACAATTTCCTTGAGTCATTCAGTGTAAAGTTGAATGGAGATAAAATAACTCTCAAATGTTCATTTCTGCATCATCTTTTTCACAGGGTGATTCATGAGGAATTTATAATATCTCACCTGCTGCTATAGATTTGACGAATTCTGTTGAAAAAAATAGCTTGCCTAACTTATACTTACAATCATTGCTATTTTGATTTTCTCACGTCACAAAAATCCTAATTGCATATTGGATTGACTTTCATTCCAATATGTGGAGTCTCATATTACCTCGTATAAGCCTCATGTTATACATTTCACAATTTTCAACAATGACCGACACTATATATTTCTTTTTCGGAACATAGCGATTTCCATCACGTTTAAACATATTCTTTTCCATCCCGGGACAATCTGGACATAATTTTTATCGCACCTTATATATCCATCGTCAAGAATAAATATAAATTTCATGCTTCTGGAACTACAATCGTAATTTTTTGAATTTTATAATTCATCTTGACGAAAATGCATCATATTGATTAAAAAAGCGTACCTTCATTATATGACCTTTGATCCGAGAAATTTCAAAACCATTTCGAGGTCAGACAACAGACATTCTCATGACGAAGTAACACTCCATTATTTCACAGTAACAGTAGAAAATTATGTTTCATCTACTGAAGACTACGTTATTCTCCATTCCATCATTCAGTATTTCTTGTAGCACTTTGTATAGACTACTTCGGAATTTTCTGTGTTCGAACACGATTTCATATCCGACGACTATACATACAAGGTTGGTTCTTTGAAAAAGAATTCCAACTTCCAATTTCATTCAATTAATCATCGGAAAAATGCATCATTTTGAATTTATAGCATGGTAATCAAAGCTCTCAATTTGAAAATTCCGAAAATGTTTCGAGAGAAAGCATCAATCAAGAGGATACAGTAAAGAAAATTATCTGTTCAAACGGTAAGGTGAAGACCACGATGCAATTTTACACCCATTCAATTTTAACCCTGTAGCAATGTTATCTGAAATTACAAAAGTTTCATATTGCCACAACAAACTGTCAAGAGATTAGGCTTATCATCGGTGGAAACCGATTTCAAATTGGCAAGGCGATTCGTGAGTTATTCTACTTTGAATTCAGGCTATAATTTGGACCACGACGGGATCAATGTTGACCAGTTTAGTTACGTTAGTATACCGGGTGACCCGGAACCAATTCACCCCCCTGTATCTTCGTTGTTATTTTGTATGGATGTTTCAAATTCGGTACTTCGATTTGATGTTATGAATGTACAATTTAGCAAGTATCAATCCAAATATGTCACTTCCGGTTTGACCGGAAGCGCATCCAATTTTTATATTTCGAGTAGGAAGTTTTTTTTTTTTGAAAATTACAATTCGGTATAGAATTACCTTTACAATGACATATCACAATCATACTCTCAATTTACAATCTGCTGGTATAATTGACATTTTATAAAAAAAATACTTTTTGTGTTCCCCTCGTAACGGAACATTTTCATGAAAGTATGCTGTGGAAGATTGAACAATATCATGTAAGCAACAATAATTCAATCTTCCACAGCATACTTTCATGAAAATGTTCCGTTGTGAATTGAAAGTATGATTGTGATATGTCATTGTAAAGGTAATTCTATACTGAATTGTAATTTTCAAAAAAAAATACTTCCCATTTGAAATATAAAAACTGGATGCGCTTCCGGTAAAACCGGAAGTGTGTCATAATTGGATTGAAACTTGCTAAATGGTACATTCATAACATCAAATCGAAGTACCGAATTTGAAACAATTTGATACAAAATAACGAAGATACAGGGGGGTAAGTTGGTTCCGGGTCACCCGGTATATTATTGAACACATTCACCTAAATATTGTGTGCGTCAACTTGAAGAAAACATGAAAATGTCTAAATACTGTCTGTAGGTTAATCGAGGAGGTGGTACATTCATTTTACTTGGTTCTTTGGGATTTTCTCTCCTCGTTTCTATAAAATAAAAGTATTCGTATTATTTCAATATATTTGTAGAGGGACAAATCAGATGATTTGCCCCAAAATGTCACTGCGTTTAACAAATTTTTCTATCAAACAAATTGTCACTGACAAGCTACTGGATTTTTCTTTTAGACTCCCTGATAGAAAAATTTGTTAAACGCAGTGACATTTTGGGGCAAATCATCTGATTTGTCCCTCTACAAATATATTGAAATAATACGAATACTTTTATTTTATAGAAACGAGGAGAGAAAATCCCAAAGAACCAAGTAAAATGAATGAAAATGTCTAATACTAACTAGTCAAAGATGACATATACGGTCTTTATAACAAGCGTTTTTTCAGTAAATCTGTATTTTAGTTGTATACAGGGTTTTTCACTTGAAACTCCGCACGCCAATATCTCGACAGCGAAAAGAAATATTCAATTTCTGTAGAAAGTAGTCAATGCCTACTAAGAGCTGAGCGTAGGGACGCGTCGAAAATAATAATCCATTGCATTCATTCACTTTGAAATTACGCGCACTCAACAGTACATGTTATTTACAAACTTTTTTGTTATTTACTCGAACTTATTTATTTCACTCACTTTTGAGTTATACTGATTTATAGTAAATGTTTCTTGATTGACAACAAACATGATGAGTTTTGCAAGAATGTCATTAATCTCAGATGTCATGAATATTAGTTACTTTGGCAACCATTGTTATCGCAATTGTTTACAAGCGATAGATGTTTTCATTACTGTGTCAGAGATATTGTCATATTTTGTATCAATAAATATTCAAATTTGTTCGGTTTTAACAAATCTAACTATAATTATATGAAAATGGTTCAATTGAGCAATGATGAAGAAGTAGACATGTTACTGGTGTTATGAGAATGCAGAACAAATTGTAGGGAGGCAAAAATCTTTCCAAGTTGTTTGCTTGTAAAACAATTGCAATAAGAATGGTTGCCGAAGTAACTAATATTCATGATATTCTTGTAAAAAGCATGCGTAATCGCATTCTTTCAATCACGAAACGTTTCTTATAAACCGGTATAACTCAGAAATGACTAAAATAAATTAGATCGAGTAAATGACGCGACGCTCAGCTCTGTAGGCATGAATTTTTCAAACTTTGACCTCATCCATTGACTACTTTTTACAGAAATCAATAGTTATTCGTTTTACTAGGCAGAAAAGTAGTAGATTGACTGCCGCGGCTGATAGTTCATAGCCGAGCGTAGCGAGGCTAGGAATTCAGCCAAGGTAGTTAATCTACATTTGCTGCCGTGTGAAACATAGATTTTTGTCTCCAAATGATATAAAACCAATTTTGTGTAATTTTTTTATAAAAAACTCCATTTTGTGTTCCCCCAATGTCAGTGTCAATCTTGATTACTAATTTCATTAGAATTTCTTTTGGAACGTTGCATAGCAGCAAACTTTTTCTGCCTAGGCAGTAAAAGTACACCTCTTCTGCCTGTTAAGCGGCATGAAAAAGCCACTATCCCTGCCGCTTGGAGGAAAATAATTTTATTCGTTTTCGAGATATTGGCGTGCGGAGATTTAAGTAGAAACCCGGTATATGCATTTGAAAATTGATAATTCAATACTTGAGTTCCCTTGAATTTCCACTTGATTATCTTTAATTTTTCTTTCAGATCGTTCGCAAAAAAGACCTAATTCAAATAACCGATGAAAAAGAATTGACGGCTTTCTGTGAAAAAGTTATACTTGAAAATGAAAAAGTCGTTCAGGCTTACAAATCTGGAAAGACAAAGGTGTTTAAGGCTTTATTAGGAAGTGTGGCAAAACTTAGTAAAAATAAGGCTGATATGGCGAAATGTACTGTGATTCTCAAGCGATTGTTAGATGAATAAAAAATAGGTACACGACATAATCAAGGACGATAAAAAATTATTTATTTCATCAAAGTTGCCTTATCTCAATATAATTTATCCAGACCTCCTCTTTCAAAACAAAGTTTGTTTATGTTTTTAGATGTATAACAAATTGATATTCATCATACAGGACGTGGAAAGGAACTTTGAATTGATTTTTTGGAAGTTCCAAGCTCATCAAGATCAGAGTTTATGCAAGTATAGTAATCCTATACATTCCAATTTCCATTTCAATACTGAACATATTGATGAGTTATATTTTTATATTATAATACATCATATTATTTATCCGATTTGAGAAAGAATGTAAATTCGCAATGTTAGAGGATTTTTATTTTTCGTGCTCTTCTTTTGGATGTTCAACAGATAAATGAATGTTCGACGTGGCAAATAGCTGGGAAAGTAGTTGTTTCATGTTGAATATGCAGAATGATATTATGTGCATTTACATATTTTTATCTGAAGCAGAATGCAAATTCTTAACTTCAAAAGATTTTGTTTTCAAATTCTTAACATGTGTAATCAATAGATATAATATGTCATGTCATTCAGCCTGGAAAGTTGTTGTTTCCTGTTGAATAAACCGAGAAAGAATGGATATTTCCATCACATAGAGAATGCGAATTCTCAATATATTTGTATATATATATATATATATATATATATATATACTACTATACATATGAGAGGGTAGTCGTTGCTGACTAGAGACAAGAGACTAGAGAGACTAATGAGAGAAAATGTTTATGTTGTTTATGTGAATTTCTAGGATGATTTTTATTTATTTTTTTAAGTGTGGGTTAAATTTGATGTTCAAGTTGTGTTGAGTCATTGTCAACTGCCAACAAGGTATGCATAGATTTCACTTAAGTGATCTACGTCAGTGTTTTCATTAATGCACTTTGGTTCTTGAGAAATGAAAGCCATTTCTAGAAAAATCCTTTTAGTGTAGTTACTCTCCTTTGCTAAAATTGACACAGATTCATAGGTCATTTTGTGATCAAACTCATTGACATGACAAGTCAAAGCACATCTCTCAGGATGCAGTGACAGTAGGGTGTCACCAAAATGAGCTATGAATCTGTGTCTATTTTAGCAAAGGAGAGTAACTACACTAAAAGGATTTTTCTAGAAATGGCCTTCATTTCTCAAGAACCAAAGTGAATAAAAAAACTGACGTAGATCACTTAAGTGAAATCTATGCATACCGCCCTGTTGTCAGTTGACAATGACTCAACATAACTTGAATATCAAATTTAACCCACACTTCAGAATAATAAAAAAATTATTCTGGAAATTCACATAAACAACATAAGAAACATTTTCTCTCATTAAATTCATCTATCTTTTTACTAAAAATGAAATAAAATTATGAATCATAATTGACAAAAGTTAAATTGTTAGGAGGATTAATATATTATCTCTTCTTCTCCTTCAGTTTTCTGGTTTTTGACTGAACATAGCAAATTCACATTGTGGCTATGGCACCTTTCCCATCTATCAATTTTCCACAAATATTCAGTCATGAAGTAGTGATTGAAAGAGCAGAAGATTAAACTTAAACTACTACATCACTAGTACTTGCCGCTTAAATGATGATTGTTGCACATGTTCTCACATTTTCAACATTTTACAAATTAGCTAATTTCATACAATTGTGATTGGACCTGTTTTTTGTTCGTTTTTTCAACTATGTCATTATCGTCTTATACAATGTTATCATTATCAACATTAATGTGAACCAACCTCAACAAAGATGTAAGTAAAAAAAATTCTCTTGCTATAATTAATGTGATCTAATGGAAAATTGTTGTAGTACCCTGATGATGAAAATATAATATTCCGAAAGCTTGGACAAACTTTAAAGAGTACTCTTTTCACTTTTCTGCATTCCCCAATAATCCTAATTTTACCTATATATGCATATATATAATTTTTTTCATGTTCATAATATATCTGAGAATATTCCTTCTCAGAGTTTGTTTACTGTACTCACTGGAGGGTCTTAGTTAGATAAGAGTTCGGACACAGAAATGACAACTGTTAGTGTTTTTGAATATTTAGATTTATCAAGTTACACACCTTGCATTTTATGAACGTCAGAATTGGAATAAAATCTCAAACTATCGAGAAAAAAGCATAAATGAACATGTCCTGCTATGTAATGAATCGCGGGAATTCTGAAGGGAATGGCTATTTCATTTCTTCAATTTTCCAAACGGAATATCAACCATTGCCGTATGGAAGGAATGTATGAAACGGCCTGGATGGAAAATTAATTTGAAGACAGACAAAATTTGTAAGGTGAGTACATATATTAAAATTCACTTCTTTTAACAGCAGATCGGAATAAAACTATATTTTAGGCCCATTTTCAAACAGAAGATATATAAGATCTGTTGTTCTATTGATTTACAAAAGAGACTATTGAAAAAAATTCCAATATATCATCTTCACACGAAATGCGAAACATGTTAGAGAAATTGATTGCAAAATTACGTATAATGGAATTGGAAATTTCATAACGAAACTGGGGAAATCGAGTCAATTGCAACGTGATATATTATCATTGAATGGCGTTTTCAGTACCGACCAAATTAAAACATGATCAGTAAAGAGTGAAGGCAGCATAAGGTGGAAAATCAAAACTATCTTCATGTTTTAAACTTTATCACTTGAGTACAGTTTTACATACAATAAGGAACTAGCTATAAGTATATCCATATGTGTCTATTTTGTCATATTAAAATGTTGTTACATAAATTCTTTTCATTTTTATGACTATATAGTTCTGCGAACTATCACTATATAAATTGAAGTGGGTGTTTATACCCTATTTCTATTTTCCATCTACGGCTATCATTGATTTGACAGGAAATCTAACCTTCAAAATTGTATCTTACAATCAGGTGCTACTAGGGGAATTGAAAAGACAAAAGAGCAAAATACAGTGTGGTCATTCAAGTGTGCAACATATGGGAATATTTTTAATAAATTGCACAACCAAAATACAGATAGTGCCGAAAGTTGGTGCATGTTCGGTGATCATTTTAGGAGCACTTAGAATGGTTGCAAGTCACACAGCATACAGGTAGGTCAAAAAATATAAAAATTGCTCAAGAGTAAAGTACCCTTATTTCAGAAAATTCAGCAAAATGTTATTGAGAAAAGTTGTTTACAATTTGAAAGTTATGCCTAAATACCAAAACATTTGTAAAGCACCCCTTTTCTTGGGTTGGCCTATACAGGGGTCTTCACAAAGTTACTGATTCACTGGGTTCGTGAATACTTAGGCAGGAATAAGATTGGTGTATATAGACATTAATACGGCAGTTCAAAATACATAAATCTCTATTCAGCAATCATCATATATGGACAGGCAGAGTAGACATGGAAGTAAAACAGATGTGCTTACATAATATTGGTTGGTTATACATGATGACAGGATGATGTACACTCGCACTATTATACCGGGTCACTTTGAAAAGTTAATACAGTTTTATAAAAGTTCAATAATTCTCGATACACATCTATTGCAGCAACACACTATGTTCACTAGGTACAGACTTTTAAGCAATTTCTAATATCAACTACATATCACGTATAACTAGACTGTTTAGCAGAGTTACTGGTTCAAGACATGAGACTTCGTATCAAGAGTTCGATCAAGACTTCGTATCAAGAGTTCGATCAAGACTTCGTATCAAGAGTTCGATCAAGACTGACTTTTATGCCAAAATTCCCTGCTTTTATACTGAGATTTGGTCATAAATTTAATCAGAATTCATTAGATTTTCGCTTAGTTGAATTGACCTCGAATTAAAGTGCAAAAAGAGTGGCTTCGGATGTTTTCAGAAATAGTTTTTAATCTAATGGAATTTTATCATTAATCATTTTGCAAAAATCGATGTCAGTTGACCTTGGGTATTACTTAAAATTAAGTACAGAAAAAGGATTTCAATGTTCATCTGAAAAGATTTTAAACTAATTGATTTTTGTAATAATTCATCTGGCCTCTACCTATCTTTGGCCCGCCCCTCTGCTGTGGCTCAGTTACTTAGGTTATGAATTCCCTGTACACTCTTTTCTAACTTTTATACACATCTTTTTCGTTGTTCCTGTGTGCCACTATCAACAATGTTACAAAGGTAAAGTACCTAATAATAAACCTATTACATATATGCATTTCTTGGTATTTGAAACAAATATTCATATTTCCAACAAGAGTTAATTCACGTAATAATATTGCTCTATCAATCTATCCTTCTAATACTTATTGAATGCATTCGAGTTCAGATACCTAAATATTTATTGACCTAATTAAAACGACCTTCTACTTCCTATAAGTGGGAAGTGTCTAGCATTAGTATTTGTTATGCTATTTTTGGTCGAGTCTTCGCGTTCATTACATTCGATCCATCCCTCGTAGACGAAATTCCATATTTTAACATATGAATTTCGTTGCTATATATAGATTATGATCTGTATTTCTTTCTAGCGCTATTATTACGTGAACTTCACCCATGAAACATCAAGAGCATCTTACAACCTCCTCGAAATTGTTTATATAAAGTTGTGACCCAGTAAATTATAGTATCAACAAATAAAATGAATGAGATATTTGAATGATCTTTGGTAGGTACCTGCAGACCTCTCTTACGATAAATATATAGAGTCGTTCATGCAAAATTCCTATACCTGAATAATATAACTATTATTAATTATAATTATTATTAAAAATTAAAATTATTGCATTTTTTTTTTTCACACTATACTACTACCTACGAAAATTTTAGACAATTTCCAATATCTATACTTATCTCTACTCTGGTAAATTATGAAATAAAGCTAATTACATGCATATTGGTGGACGATGGTCTAACGAAACCTATACCTATAAAATCAAATCACTCACTCAGTTGATCGACGTTTAATGGTAACCTTCAGGTTACGTCCCATTTGATAAACCCATCGCTCGG